TTGTGGAACGTCATGTGTTGAAGCGTCGGTTGCTGATTTGTGGGAACTTGAAGCAACCATAGAGATGTTAGGGGAGGCCACTTCGGCGACTCTGTCCGCCAGCTGAGCTAAGGCGTCGATGGAAATATTCGCTGTTGGTGCCAGCACCATTCTGACGTTCGCCGGCAAACGTTGGAGGAACAATTCCTTCAGAAGCGAGGGATCAAAAGTGGTCGGAGAGTCTCCGAGTAGTTGCTGGAGGCGGCGAAGCATTTGGGACGGTGTCCTGTCACCAAGTTCTTCGGACGTCAGCAACTGTTGGAGCCGTCGTTGCTCAGAAATGGATGTTCGCCTCACCAGCTCAGCTTTTAGGGTATCATAAGGGTTCTGGGGTGGTGGAGCGAGGATGAGGTCCCGCACCTCTGTCGCAATTTCCGGTGACAAAACTGCGATGATGTGGTGGAATTTCGTAAGTTGTCCGGTGATTTTTGCTGTGGCGAATTGCGCTTCCACTTGGGCGAACCACAAGAGAGGATCAGATGTCCAGAACCGAGGAAGGCGAAGACGAACCGCCGCGATATTTCCGTCCTCTTGATTGGTGGTCATGGTGAGGCTGGTTTGGATGAAGACGGTCAGGGATGGTGGAGTAACCGGGTCACCAAATATGTAGGAACCAAAGTCTTGGCACTACATATTTATGTACATTATTTACAAGGATAAACGGGTCGGTGATGTTCACTGCTTGCCGGAACGGTCGAGCGCGCGGCTTGAGAGCCCGTTGATCTCTCGTGTCCCGAGCTCCTTCCTTCTCCCTTTCTTCTTTTTCATCTGTGGGCGGTCAATGTATGCCAATGCCCACATGACATAAGGAGAGGAAACAAGGACACTTGATTTTCGGTGTTTGTTCAGTACGCCCCACCCCGACCCCGACAACATTTCAGGGTTTGTCTGGGTGTACTCGTCGATGTTCCGCATAAAAAAATCTGAAAAACCAACTTGGCCGCTCTCAGAAACATTTTTTCTCTCACGATGCTGTCAATAAGTGCAACTTGCCGTCAGATGTGGTCCAGCTGTGGTCTGCGAAGGAGTTGATGTCCCACTAAAGAAGAAAAAAGCTCAAGCTCGCGCTGCACATCAAAGGCACCCATGTGTCACAGGGTCTTTCAGAAACATTTAGGTGTGCTATGCAGTTGGCTTGGTGAGTGATTAAACAGCGTGTGCCATTGAAGAGCTAGTAATGTAACTCGTCATCAGTACCCAATCGCTATCCACGGCATTGTTTTTTTAGGTCCTTGAACAATTAACTCGACATGATGTACAGCAAACACCACGACATGGCGTTCAGCTTGAAAACTCCTGGGGAACCAGACGAGGCTGATGCGCTTCTAGAATCCTTTATGAACATGTTCCAGAGGGTGATATCGAGGATAGTGTGTGGAAATCAGTGTAGAAAGGCGTGCTGCTCAGCAAAGCATTATCTTTGCTCTACAGAACATCCTTCGTCATGGAGAGGGATGTGTTTGTACCACGGTGGAATAGACACATTTAGGTAATGCCACTGGCTGCTTTTCCCGCGGGGAAGGAGTGAACAGATCGTGTTCGGAGCTAGCATCGAGCTAGAAGTTGTTAGTTCCGTGCCGCCGCGGAGGGCGCTGCGGTATGAGGTCTCTCCTCCCCGGCCACGTTGTTGGCGGCGAAGCGTACTCGCCTTTTTCGCGGTATGGTAGTGGGATGATGGTGTCCGGCCAGTGGCTAACCTTGTGCTTTGCTTTGTTGCTGTGTCGATCACAGATGCCGTCATCGTACACGAAGGCAAGCCTTAGCCCGAACAAGAAGAAGGAAGAGAGCACAGATTTACAAACTCTGGCAACTTGGTGCGGCGTGGCGGTGATGAGGTACAATAATAATAATAATAATACTTTTTTTGCTGAAAAGAAATATTTTACACAAGATAGCGTACTGGCCCACGAAAACGGAAATGCTTGTGTGTGGGTCTAGGCAGCCAACAAAACACTGCATACATCATTACACATAAGGAAGAACTGTGCACTATGCAAACGATTACAACTTTTTATCTACAGGTAACACCAGCGAGCGTTTGACACCACTCTTTGACTTTTAGTTTCACCGCGCGAAGGGATGTTAAATTACTTAAAGTTTCAGGCAACGCGTTAAATAATGCAGGGATGTAATATTTCCTTTTTTACAATAATTTGTTAGAACTTTCGGCAACATAAATCTCTCTGTACGCCTTAGATTTCTTTTCTTAACCTCGTATTTGAAATCATTTTTATAATAATTACTTGTTATTGCTACATATTTATCAAATTGATCGAATGAGAGTATGCCTAGTGCCTTCATTTTTTCTTCCAATTCTAAGCCATCATGGACTGAACCATATGAAACGTTATTCGCAATATGCTTTATGACCCTATCAATTCCCTTTCTTTTGTACCCTGAACAATTCCCGTATATCTTTATTCCATACCGTAAGATTGACTCCCCTAGAGCTCTGAAAATAGACTGCCGTAATTTTACACAGCATGCACTTTTTAGTTTGTATATATACGCGGATACTAAACGGAGCCTTCTAGTAATACGTTCTAACTGCTGTTTCCGAAGTACGTGCTCATCAAAAAGTATACCTAAATATTTGACTGAAGACTGATATGGTAATGGCTTACATCTGCAGATTGACTGATCTTGCTCATGAAGGTGGAGATATATGTTTGTCTTAAGTTCAATGCGCTTATGAGGGTTACAGGAACATACTAGCTTAGTTTTTTTTGGTATTTAGAGAAATTTCGTTACTTGAGAATATGTTTATCTCACTCTGAAAAAGAGGAACCGCTTGCTCGTAGTCATAATGTAGTAATAATAAAACGGTATCGTCGGCATACTGAAACATTCTAGACTGCAACGGTATGGTAACCATAGGTCGTTTACAATAATATTATAAAGCAAGGGGCCTAAGGTGCTGCCCAGCGGCACCCCACATTCGATTCCTACTTTTTCACTTGTGTTGTGACTAATTTTGACCATTTGAAATCGGTCTGTAAAGTAGTTTGTAAAAAATCTGTTAAAATGACCTCTAAATCCGTGCTCTTCGAATTTGTGTAATATAATTTTGTGGTCGAGTGTGTCGAATGCTTTAGATAAATTCACAAACAAGGCAAGCGCTATCTTATTATTTTCAAGTGTCTCATGTACACAGTTGTAGAAATCTTCTAGAAGTGAAATCGTACTTCTTTGTTTTCGAAAGCCATACTGCGCGTCAATTAATAACGAACATTTGTCGCAAAATCCATTCATGCATTTTTGAACCCATTTCTCTAGGATGTGAGCAATCACATGGGTCTATAATTTCCAACTTCTTTCTTATTACCATTTTTATAAAGCGGCCTTACTATTGATACTTTTCGCCCTTCTGGAATTTCACCCGTTGTCAAACAGCCGTTGATGATTTTAAGTAGCATTAGTTTTAACTTTGGATAGTTATACTTTAAATCTCGTACACGAATTTCATCTATCCCCGGTACCTTTGTAATTGACATTGAGTTGATAATATCGAACAATTCTTGTTCGTGTGGCTCTGCTAAGTGTGCCGAATTTAAGCAGCCGATCTGATCAGCTTAATTTTTTCCCACATGCGGCAATATATTCTGCTTTAAGGCTTTTACGGTACTAACAAAACTGCTATTGAAGGACTGGACGACTTCCGTGTAGTTTTCTATACTGGGAAAATATTTCTTATTGTATCGTCAATGTTATTTTTTTCTTTTTCTGCCAATTAACTCATTTACGAGATCCCATGTTTTCCTTTCTCCTGAAGCAAATTCGTTTAAGTAATGCTTCTTCTTCGACAATCGAATTCTAGCTGTTACTTTATTTCTGAGTGCACGAAATTCATTTTTAAGATTTTTATCATTGGGATTTTGCTTGCATCTTTGCCATAATTTCTCTTTTTGATGACAGAGTTCTAAAATATCCTCATTAATCCACATATTTCCTGGTTTTCTTCTTTATCTTTTTAAACGTGGAAGAGGTTTTATAAATCTCTTTAAATCTATTTACGAGCAAATTGTAAGTGGTGATATGATCATACATTCCCAATGAATTCTAATCATACGCGCTAATCAGACGGTCTATCTTTTTATCATCTAAGACTGTTTTAAGCACTGTACGGCTGGACGTGTAATTGGCTGGGTTTTCCACTAATACTGCAAGAGCTATACAATAATGATCCGCGACTTTTTTTTTAATCACTGCAGGAACCAATGTCACATTTCCAAGTCAAGTTGTTATATGATCAATACATGACTTAGTTATCTTACAACCGTAATATTCTTCGCTCTTGTAATCTAGTATTACGTTCTCTAGAGGAAAGGAAGAAAGAACATCTAAATAATTAGAAACTCCGTATTTTGTTTCGTCCGAAATATCAATATTGAAATAACCAGCTAGTAGAATATGATGGTTGTTATCGAATTAGCGAAATAGGACAGAAAATTCCTCACAGAACATGTTTATGTTTAAATGAGGCGGTCGATAAACCGCGCACACAATATATGAAGACGAAGATTTGTGAATCGAGACTGCGCAAACTTTTGCGTGGACCATGGATACGTTTATCCTATCTGAAAACCAATTATTTTTTACAAACATCAATAAACCACCTCCCCTTTTTTCTTCACGACACAGACAATATGAGTTGAAACCAGCTAACGTCAATTACGAACACGCTTTTTCGTCCACACTAATTTCGCTCAATATTAATACATCCAGCGATGCCAGTCTTCCAGATAATAAAACTAAAAGTCCGTCCCAATGCCTGCGCAAGCTTCGCACATTTACATGCAGAAGTCTAAGCTCTACATTACTGCAGCTACTCTCCGTCTGCACTCGCGCCCTATAAAGGTCCCATTCGCGTATGGAGTCGAAAGTGTTCTCCATTGCTACGTTAGTTTAGTTAAATCTCTTCCACTTTCGATACGGATGGCACCAGCGCCTTCTTTCTGCCGTACGAAAATCTTGCCATTTCTCATCCACACAAACTTGTACGCCTTTGCTCTTGCACATTCCCTAGTTTGCCAAAGTAGACCTTTCAGTGTTTTGGTTAAATTATCGTTAATGTAAATATTTTCATTTCTTAGTGTCACTCGCTTCGTCATCCACAGGTCCCTCGTTTTTCTTTCCGCAAACCCGATAAGAACCGGTGGTATTTTCCTTTCCCTCGACCTAAGTCGGTGGGCAGCCTCAATGTCCTCTGTGCCTGGTTGCGGAAGGTCGAGTTTGGCAACTAGGTATTTGAGAACGCCTAATACATTCTCGTTGGGTTGCTGTACGATTCCATGGATCTCTACGTTTTTCCGCCTGGAGTACTGTTCTGCGTTATCTACTGCTGTTTTCAGGTCTCGAATTTGAACATCCTGCTCCGCCACCCTTGCTTCTAGTTCGCCCGTCCTCTTTGTTAGTTCTGTTATTGTAGCGCTTTGTGTGTCTAATCTTCGCAGAACTTCATCATACTTTGCTGACAGGTGGTTCATGGCGGTGCCTATTGCGTCGACTGTTTTCCCGTGGTGATCTAACTTCGCAAATATAGTACCGCCTTTACCAGTCTGAGTCTCCAACGCTTTTTCAATAGATTCTATTCTGCCCAAGACGTCCATGAGTCGCTTGCTAATGTCGTCATTTTGAGCTACTATCTTGTCCAGATTCCTCTCGCGAGTGCTCAGTGACGCAGGCTGTGTCGGCGACCCCCCATCTGGCGTCTGTTGGTCGTCAACCATGGTGGACTGACGGGCTGCATGGAGTGTGCATGTATTGCACTTCCATGCGGTACGCCTCTCTGGCGACAGAGCCATCAGAGCCTTTCTGGTCACACCTGAGCACTTTCCAGTATGATAGGCGTGCTGACACTCTGAACATGCCAAAACAATACCATCCAGCGGCAAAGACTTAAGACACGCGATGCATTCACTATGCATGGCCGTGGCGGACAAAATAGCGGATAAAGGGGCAGACCAGCGAAATGCAATTTGTACACTCCCGCGGAATGCAGAAGGATGAATGCAAGCTTACCTAAAACCCAAAAAGGCACAGCTTAGTACTGGCTCAGAAGCACTTCGCTGGTCTGCGACGTGTCCCCTTGCGATCGGTGCTTAAGTAGGCGGCGAATCCAGAGATGCTCGATGCCCCCGTCTGCAGATAACAACGGCGCCTGCACCGCAGTCCGCCGAAACTTGCACGGCCCTGCACTGCCGATGACGGGGCAGTGACGCGATGATGTTGCGTAGCTTCCTGGATCCTCGCAACTTGCGCTGAGACGACGGCTAGCGGCGGTAGGCCGGTCAGCTGCGTTGCTTGCTGCCGCGTTTCGCCACCTAAAACCCAAAAAGGCACATCTTAGTACTTGCTCACAAGCATTTCGCTGGTCTGCGACGTGTCCCCTTGCGATCGGTGCTTAAGTAGGCGGCGAATCCAGCGATGATCGATGCCCCCGTCTGCAGATAACAACGGCGCCTGCACCGCAGTCCGCCGAAACTTGCACGGCCCTGCACTGCCGATGACGGGGCAGTGACGCGATGATGTTGCGTAGCTTCCTGGATCCTCGCGACTTGCGCTGAGACGACGGCTGGCGGCGGTAGGCCGGTCAGCTGCGATGCATGCTGCCGTGTTTCGCCGCCTAAAACCCAAAAAGGCACAGCTTAGTACTTGCTCAGAAGCATTTCGCTGGTCTGCGACGTGTCCCCTTGCGATCGGTGCTTAAGTAGGCGGCGAATCCAGAGATGCTCGATGCCCCCGTCTGCAGATAACAACGGCTCCTGCACCGCAGTCCGCCGAAACTTGCACGGCCCTGCACTGCCGATGACGGGGCAGTGACGCGATGATGTTGCGTAGCTTCCTGGATCCTCGCGACTTGCGCTGAGACGACGGCTGGCGGCGGTAGGCCGGTCAGCTGCGATGCATGCTGCCGTGTTTCGCCGCCTAAAACCCAAAAAGGCACAGCTTAGTACTTGCTCAGAAGCATTTCGCTGGTCTGCGACGTGTCCCCTTGCGATCGGTGCTTAAGTAGGCGGCGAATCCAGAGATGCTCGATGCCCCCGTCTGCAGATAACAACGGCGCCTGCACCGCAGTCCGCCGAAACTTGCACGGCCCTGCACTGCCGATGACGGGGCAGTGACGCGATGATGTTGCGTAGCTTCCTGGATCCTCGCGACTTGCGCTGAGACGACGGCTGGCGGCGGTAGGCCGGTCAGCTGCGATGCATGCTGCCGTGTTTCGCCGCCTAAAACCCAAAAAGGCACAGCTTAGTACTTGCTCAGAAGCACTTCGCTGGTCTGCGACGTGTCCCCTTGCGATCGGTGCTTAAGTAGGCGGCGAATCCAGAGATGCTCGATGCCCCCGTCTGCAGATAACAACGGCGCCTGCACCGCAGTCCGCCGAAACTTGCACGGCCCTGCACTGCCAATGACGGGGCAGTGACGCGATGATGTTGCGTAGCTTCCTGGATCCTCGCGACTTGCGCTGAGACGACGGCTGGCGGCGGTAGGCCGGTCAGCTGCGATGCATGCTGCCGTGTTTCGCCGCCTAAAACCCAAAAAGGCACAGCTTAGTACTTGCTCAGAAGCACTTCGCTGGTCTGCGACGTGTCCCCTTGCGATCGGTGCTTAAGTAGGCGGCGAATCCAGAGATGCTCGATGCCCCCGTCTGCAGATAACAACGGCGCCTGCACCGCAGTCCGCCGAAACTTGCACGGCCCTGCACTGCCAATGACGGGGCAGTGACGCGATGATGTTGCGTAGCTTCCTGGATCCTCGCGACTTGCGCTGAGACGACGGCTGGCGGCGGTAGGCCGGTCAGCTGCGATGCATGCTGCCGTGTTTCGCCGCCTAAAACCCAGAAAGGCACAGCTTAGTACTTGCTCAGAAGCACTTCGCTGGTCTGCGACGTGTCCCCTTGCGATCGGTGCTTAAGTAGGCGGCGAATCCAGAGATGCTCGATGCCCCCGTCTGCAGATAACAGCGGCGCCTGCACCGGAGTCCGCCGAAACTTGCACGGCCCTGCACTGCCGATGACGGGGCAGTGACGCGATGATGTTGCGTAGCTTCCTGGATCCTCGCGACTTGCGCTGAGACGACGGCTGGCGGCGGTAGGCCGGTCAGCTGCGATGCATGCTGCCGTGTTTCGCCGCCTAAAACCCAAAAAGGCACAGCTTAGTACTTGCTCAGAAGCATTTCGCTGGTCTGCGACGTGTCCCCTTGCGATCGGTGCTTAAGTAGGCGGCGAATCCAGAGATGCTCGATGCCCCCGTCTGCAGGTAACAACGGCGCCTGCACCGCAGGCCGCCGAAACTTGCACGGCCCTGCACTGCCAATGACGGGGCAGTGACGCGATGATGTTGCGTAGCTTCCTGGATCCTCGCGACTTGCGCTGAGACGACGGCTGGCGGCGGTAGGCCGGTCAGCTGCGATGCTTGCTGCCGTGTTTCGCCACCTAAAACCCAAAAAGGCACAGCTTAGTACTTGCTCAGAAGCATTTCGCTGGTCTGCGACGTGTCCCCTTGCGATCGGTGCTTAAGTAGGCGGCGAATCCAGAGATGCTCGATGCCCCCGTCTGCAGATAACAACGGCGCCTGCACCGCAGTCCACCGAAACTTGCACGGCCCTGCACTGCCAATGACGGGGCAATGACGCGATGATGTTGCGTAGCTTCCTGGATCCTCGCAACTTGCGCTCAGACGACGGCTGGCGGCGGTAGGCCGGTCAGCTGCGATGCTTGCTGCCGTGTTTCGCCGCCTAAGACCCAAAAAGGCACAGCTTAGTACTTGCTCAGAATCATTTCGCTGGTCTGCGACGTGTCCCCTTGCGATCGGTGCTTAAGTAGGCGGCGAATCCAGAGATGCTCGATGCCCCCGTCTGCAGATAACAACGGCGCCTGCAGCGCAGTCCGCCGAAACTTGCACGGCCCTGCACTGCCAATGACGGGGCACTGACGCGATGATGTTGCGTAGCTTCCTGGATCCTCGCGACTTGCGCTGAGACGACGGCTAGCGGCGGTAGGCCGGTCAGCTGCGATGCTTGCTGCCGTGTTTCGCCGCCTAAAACCCAAAAAGGCACTGCTTAGTACTTGCTCAGAAGCATTTCGCTGGTCTGCGACGTGTCCCCTTGCGATCGGTGCTTAAGTAGGCGGCGAATCCAGAGATGCTCGATGCCCCCGTCTGCAGATAACAACGGCGCCCTCACCGCAGTCCGCCGAAACTTGCACGGCCCTGCACTGCCAATGACGGGGCAGTGACGCGATGATGTTGCGTAGCTTCCTGGATCCTCGCGACTTGCGCTGAGACGACGGCTAGCGGCGGTAGGCCGGTCAGCTGCGATGCTTGCTGCCGTGTTTCGCCGCCTAAAACCCAAAAAGGCACATCTTAGTACTTGCTCAGAAGCATTTCGCTGGTCTGCGACATGTCCCCTTGCGATCGGTGCTTAAGTAGGCGGCGAATCCAGAGATGCTCGATGCCCCCGTCTGCAGATAACAACGGCGCCCTCACCGCAGTCCGCCGAAACTTGCACGGCCCTGCACTACCAATGACGGGGCACTGACGCGATGATGTTGCGTAGCTTCCTGGATCCTCGCGACTTGCGCTGAGACGACGGCTAGCGGCGGTAGGCCGGTCAGCTGCGATGCTTGCTGCCGTGTTTCGCCGCCTAAAACCCAAAAAGGCACTGCTTAGTACTTGCTCAGAAGCATTTCGCTGGTCTGCGACGTGTCCCCTTGCGATCGGTGCTTAAGTAGGCGGCGAATCCAGAGATGCTCGATGCCCCCGTCTGCAGATAACAACGGCGCCTGCACCGCAGTCCGCCGAAACTTGCACGGCCCTGCACTGCCAATGACGGGGCAGTGACGCGATGATGTTGCGTAGCTTCCTGGATCCTCGCGACTTGCGCTGAGACGACGGCTAGCGGCGGTAGGCCGGTCAGCTGCGATGCTTGCTGCCGTGTTTCGCCGCCTAAAACCCAAAAAGGCACATCTTAGTACTTGCTCAGAAGCATTTCGCTGGTCTGCGACATGTCCCCTTGCGATCGGTGCTTAAGTAGGCGGCGAATCCAGAGATGCTCGATGCCCCCGTCTGCAGATAACAACGGCGCCTGCACCGCAGTCCGCCGAAACTTGCACGGCCCTGCACTACCAATGACGGGGCAGTGACGCGATGATGTTGCGTAGCTTCCTGGATCCTCGCGACTTGCGCTGAAACGACGGCTAGCGGCGGTAGGCCGGTCAGCTGCGATGCTTGCTGCCGTGTTTCGCCGCCTAAAACCCAAAAAGGCACATCTTAGTACTTGCTCAGAAGCATTTCGCTGGTCTGCGACATGTCCCCTTGCGATCGGTGCTTAAGTAGGCGGCGAATCCAGTGATACTCGATGCCCCCGTCTGCAGATAACAACGGCGCCTGCACCGCAGTCCGCCGAAACTTGCACGGCCCTGCACTGCCAATGACGGGGCAGTGACGCGATGATGTTGCGTAGCTTCCTGGATCCTCGCGACTTGCGCTGAGACGACGGCTAGCGGCGGTAGGCCGGTCAGCTGCGATGCTTGCTGCCGTGTTTCGCCGCCTAAAACCCAAAAAGGCACATCTTAGTACTTGCTCAGAAGCATTTCGCTGGTCTGCGACATGTCCCCTTGCGATCGGTGCTTAAGGAGGCGGCGAATCCAGAGATGCTCGATGCCCCCGTCTGCAGATAACATCGGCGCCCTCACCGCAGTCCACCGAAACTTGCACGGCCCTGCACT